TGGGCTCAAACTCATGAACCGAACGATGAGATCATGACCTGAGCTTAATGGACTGAGACACCCATGCGCCCCTTTAAGATTTTATTTTTAAGTAATCTCTACACCCAACGTGGGGCTCGAACTCACAACCCGGAGATCAAGAGTTGTGTGCTTCACTGACTAAGCCAGCCAGGTGCTCCTAGAATTGTATTTTTATTTTTAAAAAAAATTTTTTTTTCAACATTTTTTATTTATTTTTGGGACAGAGAGAGACAGAGCATGAACGGGGGAGGGGCAGAGAGAGAGGGAGACACAGAATCCGAAACAGGCTCCAGGCTCCGAGCCATCAGCCCAGAGCCTGACGCGGGGCTCGAACTCACGGACCGCGAGATCGTGACCTGGCTGAAGTCGGACGCTTAACCGACTGCGCCACCCAGGCGCCCCTAGAATTGTATTTTTAACAGGCAGAATAACCAAGTATCACATTAAGCCATTTCTCTCCCAAGCCCACTTTTTTCTTCTTTATATTTACCGTTATTAGCAATCAATAACTGTGGCTAGTGTTACTAATAATCGTGTGTATATATATTATAAGACAATTATCAGCTCATTCAGTTTTTCACATCCTGTGAGGTGCTAATCAGACATACATGTATATCAATTAGCCCCAACTGCCTGGATTAAACTAGAAAGAAATTTCTTGGCTCACTTAACTGCAAAGTCCAGGCATAGTTAGCTGGAGTTGGGGCTCAAGTGATGTCATCAGGACTGTTTCTCCCTATGGATCAACTCTGCCTTTTCCTGTACAGACTTCAGTTGAGGGGGCCATATGTTAGAAAAGTGGCCGCAGCATATTCAACCCCGGGAGCCTCTCACACTTTAGGTTTAGTGGGAAAGAACACCTGTCTTTTTCCCAGAAGCCTCAGCAGAAATCTCGTGTCTCATTGGTTCTTATGGGGTCACATGTCTTACCTGAGCCAGTCTTTGTGTTTGGGGCTATGAGCCAGTTGTGGTCACATGACACCCTTGGATTCCTTGATGCGGTCTGCTCTTCAGGAACCATATGGACTGAGAGTAGGGGTGAGGTGAATTCTCAAAGGGAAAATGTGGGCTTTTGTTAGCAGGAAAAGGAATGGATACTGGGTGGCCAAACAACTAATGATATTAGTCTCTTTTATAGGTCAGCAGCAGATTGCAGGAGTTAATGGATTTGGGTTGGAATCTTGGTTTCCCTTGCCTGTGAAGTCACACACTCCCAAGCCCATGTTCCCCACAGGTGGAGGAGTTTGTAGAAAGTTACATACAGTGTTTTATATTCTTTTTATGCAAGTTGGTTGTTTTTAACAGGAAGAGAAAGAATCAAGGCTGATAGGGGGTAGATCTCACAATGGGCGGATGTGATGCTTCTTCCTGTATCGATGTGATTCACGGGACTCATCTCCATTCCCTGGGCCTCCCTGTCCCCATGGGAGAGACTCTTAGAGCTTGGTCACTGTTTGCCCTTGGATCAGGCTGTTCTGGGCAGGCGGTAGGATTGTATGTTGTTGATACAGCTGTGTCTGTATCCTCGACAAGAGTGTCAGCCACACAGTGAGGTGTATCTGGGTGCTGGCCTCTTCCAGGAGTAGTAGTTCCCAGATCTCTTACTGTGTATTTCTATAGTCCATTTTAGCATGGCTGAGACATTGTCTCACTTTGACTGGCAGTTTTTATTTTACCCATGAGAAAGCTTTTTTAACTTCTTCAGAAGGAGGATGTGTAGCTAGGTCCTTCTGTTTTCTGAAAAACCAGAGAAAATAGTTGAATAAGACCTGCTTTGTACTGAGGTCCACACTACAGCTAAGTACCCCTGGTGAGGTTCAGGTAGGACTTGGGGAGAAACTAATTATTAAGACCTGATTAACAAAGGTAAGTGTGGTAGAAACCTTCACATCCTCTTCTGAGATAGGCACTTGAACCTAATGAATCAGACATTAACTCTTCAAGTTAATTCCCCCTGGAGCTGCTGAAGTTAATAGTTCTGTCCCCAATCTGCTGATATATTAATGTTTTGAGATATCCCTGGGGAGTATGCTTGGTGGCTGATGTTGACAGGAGTCTTTGTGATCTCCCTTTGTAGCCAGTTTTAGGGGTTATCTTGTGTATATCAGTGACACACAAATGTACTTATTTCTCCAGCGGCGATTCTTGCGTAATCATTATCAATTTATTGAGATGGGTAAAATGGATGAAAATAATTCCTCTGTTAACTAGGTAGTTACGTAGAGTGTTATTTTGTTTACTGTAAATATAGTATTGTATGTTGAGATCAGTGAAGTGATTCTACTTTATGTAAACTGAAAATTTGGAATTTTAGGGAAATAGCAATAGCTGACACTTCCTGAGCACTTACTGTGTGCTAGGCATTCTCGTAAGTGTTCTTTCTACACACGATACTTCACCTGATCCTACATTAACCATAGGAGGTAGGCAGTAGTTGTTTGCCAGTTTTTTGTTTTTAATTTTTTTTTTGTAACGTTTATTTATTTTTGAGACAGAGAGAGACAGAGCATGAATAGGGGAGGGGCAGAGAGAGAGGGAGACACAGAATCAGAAACAGGCTCCAGGCTCTGAGCTGTCAGCACAGAGCCCGACGCGGGGCTCGAACTCACGGACTGTGAGATCATGACCTGAGCCGAAGTCGGATGCTTAACCGACTGAGCCACCCAGGCGCCCCAGCTGTTTGCCAGTTTTGAGGTGAGCAAGTTGGGTGGGATACTGGAGGTTAAGTCACTCGCCCCAGGCTGTGCAGCTCGTGAGTATCTGAGTGAGGGGGCCGGTGGGTGAGGGGGCCGGTGAGTTTTGAATGCAAGGCCTCTGGCTCTGTGTCTGTGCTCTGGCTCCCTGTGCTCTGTTCTCTCCCTAAGAAAGATTTTAGCTTGTGCATTCTTAGTTTTTCTTTTCTTTTCACTTCTTTTGTAATATTTTCTAGATGCGGCTGAGAGTTTTACAGGAAAGATTTGCCAATTCTGAGGCCTTTGGCGTCCATGGGTTTATGCATCTACTTTTGCTATTGTCTGGCAAGCCAACGCGAGAAGCTCGTTTGTATCGGTAGTTGTCAATCAGGAATGGTTCCCCCCCCCCCCCCCAGGGGACATTTGCTCCGGTCTGGAGATACTTTCGGTTGTCACAAGTTGGGAGGTGCCACTGGCCAGAGATGCTGCTAAATATCTTACAGCACCCAGGACAGCTCTCCCTCGGCAAAGACCTACTCGGACCAAAGTGTCAGTAGCATCATCTGAGGTCTCTATAATCAGTTATTATCTTGTAGTGTCGCTATTTTGTCTTCCTTTCTTTAAAGCAAGTCATTCACTTTGCAAGTTTTACTTATTCATTTTGAGAGAGAGACAGACAGACAGACAGAATCCTCAGTGGGCTCCCTACTGTCAGCATGAGCCCAGGGTGGGGCTCGATCTCAGAAGCTGCGAGACCATGCCCTGAGCTGAAATCAGGGGTCCCGTGCTTACCAGACTGAGCCACTCAGGTGCCCCTGCACTTTTTGACCTACGAGTATCTCCAAGTTGAAGGGGCCCGGACGGACCTCTGCAGACGTCTGTCATCACGCCCAACTCACTGCCCCTGTGTTCTGGGTGCCCGTCCACGGCTTTCTCCCCTCAGCTCTCGCTGTGTGCGGCGCATGGCAGAAGAAGAGCAGGGGAGCCTGGGGCCAGGTGGCCGTCAGAGCTGGAGAGGCGGCAGGAGGCTCGCCGGGGCTGCGGGCAGGAGAGGAGGCGAGAGGGACCGATGAGCACCTGGGGGCCGATGAGCACCTGGGGGCCGGTGGGTCAGGTGGAAGGTGGGGAAGAGCAGGAGGGCCGGCAAGCGAGGGGGGGGGGGGGCAGGAAAAGCACTCTCCGTGCCTGACCGAGCTGGTGACGGGCGGTCCACGAGAGTGCTCCCGCGACGCAGTGTCGTGATCGGCAGTCCACGGGGTTGAGGTCCTCTCTGCCCAGGCGTCGTGCTCTCGCCGTGAGCCATCCAGCTGGGGCGAGGCCGGGCTTGCATTCGCAGACTCTCCTCCTCGGACCGCCGTGGTGGTGTCTTCCTGATGGCCGTGCCCGCTTCTCGCCTGTTCTTACGGCACTTCTGTGGGAGAGCCTCCTTCTTCCTGTGACAGCCCATCACGCCCCGGCGCCTGTGGAATAAAGCCCTCCCTTCTTGCGGCCCTTGAGGCCACTCGCGGCTCCTCCGCTTTCCACGACACACCTGGAGTTTAGGTCACGCGGTTGTTCCTCTTGGTGGTTTCACTTGAACTCTTCTCTCTGGAAATCCCACGTACGCTCTCCCTGTCATCTCTGTGTAGGGAACTCCCGTTCACTTTTCGAGGCCAGCTCATGCCTCGTGGCGGATGGAGTAAGTCTCTCTCGGAATTGCTGCTCTTGCCAGAATCGGAGTTGCCTGAGAGCAGCCGTGCTGTGCTCCGTCGTGGACTTCGGGGCTGCTCGCACAGCGCCCGGCCTCGGGGAGTGTTTGCCGAGTTGAATGAAGAGGCGGTTCAAACTGGCATTCTAACCAGGTTTCTATGTTGCTGGGAAAAATCCTGCACGGTATAGGTCTTGATTCTCTGCGATCCCAGTCACGGAATTACAGTACTGAAATTGGGAGGTTTGGATATGAAGCATTTCTGTACCTTCTGGTTTAAAAACACACACACAAAACAGCCTTCACGGTTTGTTGTACCTTGCAGTACTCAAAGTCATGTTTCCTTTATCAATTTGACCCATTTCTACATTTGGTGGTTCATTGTGTGATCTCGACTTACGGTTGACATTACGCTTGGATCTTAGTAAAGACTTCATAAAATGTAAAAGAAGTTTAGATTTTGTAGCATCACAAGCTTAGCTGTGACCTTGATCAGAAGGCTGGTTGAGAGTAACTATTCCAAGAGATAATTAAACCAACGGAGGTAGGAATGAGACTGGAATTGAAAACGAGTGAGATTTTAAAACCTTCTCTGACCTGTCCTTTCTTTCTGTCTTTAGGATTTTTGTCCCTGAGTCATGGAAGACAGAAGAGCTGAGAAGTCATGTGAACAAGCGTGCGAATCACTTAAGAGGCAGGACTATGAAATGACCCTCAAGCACTGCACAGAGGCCCTCCTTTCTCTCGGCCAGTACTCCATGGCCGACTTCACAGGGCCATGTCCACTGGAGATAGAAAGCATCAAAATTGAGAGTCTTCTTTACAGAATCGCCTCGTTTTTGCAACTGGTGGGTAAACCCTGTCAATAAGCCAATGCTGAGCCATGAAAAATGGACTTTTTCATTGAGTGGGAAAAATTGTTGGCCACAATCACCTAAGTCCGGGCTGATGTGGCTAGTGATTGCTGAACGTGTTTGACAGCAACAACTGTTTTTACACCTTTAAAATTGTTTAATAAAATTTGTTGTATAGCATTTTGGGTTATCCACTCATTCAGCAAATATTTATTGAGTGTATACTATGTACCGGACACTGGTCTAGGTACTTGATAGACATTGGTGGAAAAAAATGATCTTCACGATATTTTTTCTAGCTGGGGGACAGACCCTAAACAGTACATATTACACATAAGTAGACACTTGAGAGTGTTAGAAGGTAGCAGTCTGCTGAAAAAAAAGTCATGGCAAGGGAGATTTGGGGATATAGGGTTAGGGTTGGGGTTGCAATTTGAAATTGAGTGGTCAGGGTCGGCTTTGCTGATAAGGCGATACGAAGGAGGCAAGGGAGCGAGCCATGTCAAAATCTGGAGGAAGAACATTACAGGCAGAGGCAACAGTCAGTGCGAAGGTTCTGAGGCAGAAGCCTGCCTGGCATATTTGAGAAATAGCTAGAAGACCAGTGTGCTGGAGAAAAGTATGTGAGGGGGAGTGGGCAACGGGGCTGAATCCTGTGGGGCCCTCCAGGTCCCTATAAGGACCTGGTTTTCTTCTACTTAAGTTGGGGAGCTCTTGTTAGGTTTTGAGCAGAGGAATGGCATGATCTGATTTGGTAGGGATTCTTTGACTTTTATATTGAGGGTAGACTCTGGAGGGGTAAGTGAGGCAGGGGGACTAGTTGGGAAGCTGTTGGAATAATCCAGGCCAGACATGATAGTGACTCAGGCAAAATGGCGGCCGCAGAGAGACTGAGGAGTGGTTTGATTCTGGTTCTAAGTTGAAGGTCGGACTAGTATGATTTCCTAATACATTGAATGCAGGGAGTGAGAGAGAGAGAGAGCAGTCACAGATTACTTACTTCGATGTTGCTTTGTCTGAGCAATTGGAAAGTGGAGTTTCCTCAACTGAGATGACAAGGCTGTCGGTGGTGCACAGGTTTTGTGGGGCAAGTTGGGAGTTCAGTTTTGGACATCCTGAGTTTGAGATGTCATTTAGATAGCCGGCTGGAGATGTTGAGGAAGCAGTCAGTCAGGCAGGTGTGGAGTTTGGGAGAGAGGTCTGGGTCAGAGATACTGACTTAAGAGTTGGGGGCCTGTAGATGACATCTAAAGTCTTGAGCCTGGGTGAGATCACCAAGGAATGAACGAATGTACATAGAGAAGAGGAGAGGACCGAGGACTTAGTCTTAATGGCGCTACAGTGTGAAGAGGTGCAGGAGAAGAAGAGGAACCAGCAGAGCAGCCTAAAGAGCAACCCTTGACGTAAAGGAAAACTAAGGGAGGGCCGTGGACCCGTAGCCAAGTAAAGAAAGTGGATCCAAGTGAGAGAGTGGTCAGCAGTGTCTGTTGCTGTGAATGTAGTAGTGAGAATTGAGAGGCGACGGAGATGTGACAGTGCATCTGAATGGGAACGAGTCAGTGTAGACCGCGTGTCCGGCTGGATGCAGTGGAGGTCACTGGAGACCAGCACGAGAGCAGCCTCTGTGGAGTGGCGGTGTACATCTGACTAAAGACAGTTCGAGGGTCACCGGGAAGGAATTGAAGTACATGAGTATAGACAGTTCTCGGGGAGTTTTGTCCCAAAGAGGCACAAAAAAGTGAGAGTGGTAACTGGTGGGAGAAGTGAGGTCACAAGAAGGATTTTTTTTAAGATGGGTGAAGTAGCCCCATGTTTGTTTAAAGGACTGAATCAACGGAAAGCAAAAAAGTCAGCGATGTAGGAGTAGAGGCGGCTTGCTGGAGCGATGTTCTTGAGCGGGTTATAGAGCAGGTCTGCCCCAGCGGTACGCTAGAAAGGGCTCTGGAGGCTGGCCTGGTAACAGGCGGAAGGCAGAGAGTGCGCTGGGAAGCGGGCAGACATGGGGTGACAGTCCTCGGGAACTCTCTTCTCAGGGCTCTGTTTTCTCAGGGGAGTCGTTAGCTGAGCGTGATCGTGAGGGAGGAGGTTCTGGTGGTTTGGAAGTAGAGAAGGTGAGAAGGAGTCAGGGAAGGACATTATATTGTTGGTAGAGCACATGAGTGAGTTTTGCTCTGTGAATATTAAATTCCAAACATTAATAATCACAGTTTGAAACAAAGTTGAGTTTTTGTTTTTGTTTTTGATAAAATCTGTTTTAAGCTGCCCTTGAACGACTTAATTTTATCTTGTATCTTTTATTTTGCAGAAAAACTATGGGCAAGCTGATGAAGATTGTAGGCATGGTATGTTTAAGAATGGGACTGTTTTCTGCTTTGAAAATTTTGAGTTATTTAAATGGAGCAGTGTTTAAGATTTGATTTTTTTATATGCTAATTTCAAGAGAGATTAAAACATTTGAAACCCCCTCACTGTGGTTACTAGTAACTAATGTGGATGACGACTTTCCTGCTCTGATGGATGTACATCTGAACGTTGTTCATCGTCATGAGTGGGAACACTGATAGTGTCCTTTTAAAGTTTGTGTGAGTATTTTTAGTCAATAAGAGCCAAATTTTAAGACCTGTAACACACATTGATTAAGATGTTAAGCTTGGGTAAATTGAGAGGCTTGTCTGTCCATCCTAGAATGTTTTTTTCCCTTCAGTAGATGTCCCTTAGACTATACAACGTTTATTTATTTTTGGGAGATGTCCCTTAGACAAGAGAGCCTGCCTGACTGGCATGCTCGTTAGTGCTTTATTTCTGTTTTCTTTGGGCGAGAGATTAACTAGAAAGATTTTTGCTCTTTGGGTACCCGTAGAATAGGAATGCTTTTCTTCGTGATTCCTGCCAGTTCACTGGAATGAATCTCAGAGTGAGTGGGAGAAGGGGAAGGGGTACAGTGTGTGGTGGGAAGTTTTGCTTCAGTCACAGCTGTGATTTGAATAATAGAATGTTTCGTTTATCCAGAATTTGGGGAAGGGGTGCTGAGGTGTTAAACAGAGGTTAATTTTTTTATTACTCCTTTGTATCAAAACTTTTAAAAGTATTAACTGTTCTTGTTGTAAACCTTAAAAACTATCTGACATACTCCTGTGGCATATTGGACATAATTTAACCATTCACTGAAGAATGTGAACGCCCTTTAACAAAACCTTTACTATCTCTGGACGTTTAAAATTATCCACAACAGCAACAAAAAATAAAATTACCAGGGAGCCAAATAACAATAAGTCAGATAATATAGAGGAATATGAAGAAGGGGATCATTTCCCCTTTTTATCCCATCTGAAGAAATCATGGTTATTACCTTGCTGTATCTTTGGTATCTTTCTCTATAGTGATAAACACAAATGCCTAAAATATGTAGATAGGGGTTTTCCTTTAAAAATTAAAAAAGATTCATGTGATCAGTACAAAGCAGATTGCTTTCTTACATACCAACAGATCATAGATAGGTGTCTTTCTTTTTTTAAATTTCTATTTTTATTTATTTTTTTAAAGTTTATTTATTTATTTTGAGAGAGAGAGAGACATAGCGAGCGGGGAAGGGGCAGAGAGAGAGAGAGAGAGGGAGAGAGGATCCCAAGCAGCCTCCGCACTGTCAGTGCAGAGCCTGATGTGGGGCTCGAACTCATGAACCGTGAGATTATGATGTGAGCCAAGATCAAGAGTCGGACACTGGACCGACTGAGCCACCTGGGTACCTGTCATGGATATCTTTCTAAGTTTCTCCAGTTCCAGTTACTGCTTAATATTCCATACTATAAATGTTTTCCTGTTTCCTCAAAACTTCTCATATCGGTAGGCGTTCAGGTGGTTCTTGTGTCCTCGTTTGTTATTATAATCCATCCTGTAATAAAAACATATTCTTCTTTAGTGTTGCTAGTTTCCGTAGGATAGTCTTAAAAGTTGGATGTCTGGGTTAAAATTGTATACTTACAGTTTTAACAGACGCTGTCAGATTAGTTCAGGTGCACACACCCACCAGCAGCTCATGCGTATGGCCCTGCCGTGTAATCACACGGACACTGGAACCTGCCAGTCTTGATGTTTTGCCAACCTCACGTGTGAGAAATGGACACTCTTTCTTTAATTTTCGCTCCCTTGAGGATCAGTGAGGTGGAATACAGTCTTCTCATCTTGGAGACGTACAAAGTCCCAGAAGGTTAAATGGTTTGTGAGAAGTCACAGGAGAGTAAATGCTGTTGGTGAAGGAGCATACGGAAAAGGTTGCATTTTTCTGTTGTTTCTTTTTTTTTTTTTTAATGTTTATTTATTTTTGAGACAGAGAGAGACCGAGCATGAACGGGGGAGGGTCAGAGAGAGAGGGAGACACAGAATCCGAAACAGGCTCCAGGCTCCGAGCGGTCAGCACAGAGCCCGACGCGGGGCTCGGACTCACGGACCGCGAGATCATGACCTGAGCTGAAGTCGGACGCTTAACCGACTGAGCCACCCAGGCGCCCCTCGTTTAGCAGTTTTAAAGTTAGATACTACTTTACAACTACTGAATTACTAAAATAACCAGGAATCTTTTGGAGGTGATGGATATGTTTATATGTTTACTACCTGCATTGTGATGATAGTAACATGCGTGAATACATATATACAAACTCACCAGATTGTATACATTAATTATATGCAGTTTTTGTATACCAATCACACCTCTATGATGTTGGGGGAAAAAAGTTTAACCAATGTCTAGGATAAAGTCGTAATGAAATAAATATACTCTTGTGTTGGTGGAGTGTGAAGCAGAATGCAGCTTGGTAATATGCTTATACCCTTCGACCCACTAATCTCATTTCTGGGATGCTATCCCAAGTAAATAATCCAAAAGAAAGAAGAAATTGTATGTGGAATGATGTTCATTGCAGTGCTGTGTGTAAAAGTGAAAAATCAGTTAGCTTCCAGTAATGGAGGAGTTCTTTTAATGAAATTCTATGCATTCCTTGTTACCATCTATGTGATACGGAAGCACATGGAAAATGCTTGCTAAGATGCCAGAGCAGTGTATATAGTTGTTCACTTGAAACAGACATTCGGGAAGATTAGCCAAGTTTATATGTATGTATTGCTAGTTGTAGAGTTCTGCTATTAGATGAATTTTTTTTTTCTCTTTCAACTTTTGGTAACATTATGTAAAATAAAATACCATGGTCAGGCAGTGAGTTAGTAATAAAAAGCAAGTCAAGAACCTCCGTCTGTTAATTATTATACTACTTTGTAACACCGGAGAACTGTTCGTATCCTAGCGGCCCCAACCTTACGTTTGCCGTCGTAAGTATTATGTAATACCGTATATCTTTTTTTTTTTTTTTTTAAGTTTATTTATCTATTTTGAGAGAGCACGGGCAGAGGAAGGGCAGAGAGAGAGAGGGAGACAGAGGATCCCAAGCGGACAGTGTGGAGCCCCATGCGAGACTCTATGCCATGAACTGGGAGATCCTGACCTGAGCTGAAATAAGAGTCGGACACCTAACTGACTGAGCCATATTGTTTTGACATCTGTTCCCTTACCGTGAGGCTGTCAGTTTGCATTCCTTGCAACTCTCAACGTGCCCTGTTGTAACTACCTCCTCCCCCTTTCCATTTGCTGCTTCTGACCTTCTGATTTCACTTTCTCAGACAGGGTTAGGAAAGCAGGCAGGCAGTCTTGGTTATAGAATTAAAAAACATTAAAAGTTGTTTTGTATTGTGAAGAAATTAAAATACATAGGAAAATAGAACAGATGGTTTAATAAGCATTCATATTCTCAGATTGTAACATTTGACCATATTCACTTTTTTCTGACATATTTAAAAATAATGCTGGGCATCGTGATATTTACCCCTAGCCACGTTAGTATTCATCTCTAAAAAATAAGGCCATAAATGCATAACCACAATGTTATTATTATTAACAAATAAAATGGGCAGTAATTCCCTGTGGTTTTGTGAGGCTGAGCCTCGCTTTGGGCTCTGTGCTGGCAGTGCAGAGCCTGTTTGCGAATCTCTCCCTCCCTCTCTCTCTCTGCCCTTCCCCTCATGCTGTCTTTGTCTCTCTCAAAATAAATAAATTAAAAAAAATTGACAGTAATTCCCTAATATTACCTAAAACCCGCTCTCTAATCAAATTTACTTGGTTGTCCCCAAAATATTTTTTATGGCTGATTTATTTCCAAGCCAAGAACTAAATTAGAATCATAATTTTTTTTTAAAGTTTACTTATTTTGAGGGAGAGTGTGAGCACATCCAGCCTGGGGAGGGAAGGACGGAGTGGGAGAGAGAATCCCAAGCAGGCTTTGTGCTGTCAGCGCAGAGCCTGATGTAAGGCTTGATCTCATGAACCGTGAAATCATGACCTGATCCGAAATCAAGAGTGGGGTGCTTAACTGACTGAGCCACCCAGGTGCCCTGCCTTTTCTTTTTATTGATGATTTCCTTTGCGGTGCAAAAGCTTTTTATTTTGGTGTCGTCCCAATAGTTTACTTTTGCTTTTGTTTCCCTCGCCTGAAGAGACAGACCTAGAAAAATGTTGCTGAGGCCGATGTCAAAGAGATTACTGCCTGTGTTTTCTTCCAACAGTTTCATGGTTTCACTTCTTTTAGGTATTTAATCCATTTTGAGTTTGTTTTTGTGTATGGTATAAGACGGGTCCGGTTTCATTCTTTTGCATGTAGCTGTCCAGTTTTCCCAACAGCATTTACTGAAGAGACTCTGTTTTCCCCATTGTATATTCTTGTCTCCTTTGGTATACATTGAGCATTTTGGAAAAATACCTTGATCAGGCCTAGTATTTCAATCAAAGATTTAATTAGTTAATGTTTATTTTTGAAAGAGAGAGTGTGAGCAGGGAGGGGCAGAGAGGGAGACAGAGGATCCAAAGTGGGCTCTGTGCTGAGAGTCGCGAGGTCACTGCGGGGCTTGAACTCACGAACCCTGAGATCGTGACCTGAGCCAAAGTTGGACGGACACTCAACTGACAACTGACCCAGCCACCCAAAGATTTTAAAAATAACCAAGGACTTGATGAAACAAGCTGATATGGTGATGTGACTGAAAACATACAGAATCATACTACTTACTGTGCTTAAGGCTTATTTCAAATCACCTTTCTCGCCGCATGTAATTTAAAGAAGGGGAATTACATTTTAATTGTCGATTGTGTCCTTTGGATAGCCAGAGGCTCTTTTGTGGCAACAGTTGAATGACTGTTCCTTTAATATTAGTTTCTGGTCTAAAATATTTCAAGTAATACATATTACAGAAGCTAAAGATAGAGAAGGGGTAGAGACCTGAGCATAGCAGCGGAGGTAAGACTTGCAGGTCTCCTCCTTGGTGACTCAGTAGACAGGAAGGAGTGGTCCAGTTTGGGAACAGTTGTGTGCTTACAGTGAAATCTTACAGATAGTTGGTGGGAAGAGAATTTTTCTGCAAGGCGTTGTAGCATATTTACAATTGCTCAAGATGAGATTACGCTTTTTTTTTTTTTAATCTTTTCTTAGTTTATTTATTTATTTTGAGAGAGAGCGAGCACAGGCAGGGGAGGGGCAGAGAGAAGGAGAGACAGAATCTCAAGCAGGATCAAGACAGAGCCTAATGCGGGGCTCGAACCCATGGACCACAAGATCATGACCTGAGCTGAGATCAAGAGTCGGACACTCAACTGACTGAACCACCCAGGCGTCCCGATTACACTTTTTAAAAATGAATTTTACTTAAGAAAGTTTTATGTATTTTTGAGAGAGAAAGCGCAAGCAGGGGAGGGGCAGAAAGAGAGGGGGACAGAGGATCCGAAGCGGGTGACAGCAATGAGCCTGATGTGGGGCTCAGATTCACGAACTGTGAGATCATGACCTGAGCTGAATGTGGACACGCAACTGACTGAGCCACCCAGGTGCCCCTAGATTACCTTCTTAATGTTCTCTCTTTTGGCAAGTTCAATGATTATAGCTAAGGCAAGTTTAACAATACATGAGGCTGTATTTTGTTTTCTTTCAAGCCTTTTCAAGATACTACAGATGATAAGGGACCAGGTTGGCACATTGCAGTTTAATCTCGTTATATGATACAAAAGCAGGAGAGTTTTTTATGTATAATTGTTGACTGGTTTTTTGCGACAGTTCTTTATGCGGGATCCTGCAAGACAAACTGCATCGCATTTTAGGGCAACAGTTAGAAAAAAGTACATCGGTACTGATTCTTGTCTAAAAAAGGGAGAGAAAGAAAAAAAGGAAACGTAATTTTGATAAATATTGAGGCCTTCAAACATGAGTGCAATGCAAGAACTTTTGCACAGTAAAATTCAGCAAATACTTTGTATGAAACTAAATATCTATAAAAGGCTTTGTAAAATATCATGTGATTTAATATTCTTTAAACACGACATAATCACCTGAGGTTGAAATATTCTTACAGATTTTTCGTTTTCCTGAAACATTCTTCAGCTTTTGACAACTAGTTTCTTAGGACCCAATTACTGGAAAGGAACTAGGATATTTCCTTAGCAGCACTCAGTACTGCTTTATAATTTTTACAAGGGGAGGGTAACATCTAGGGGACTCTTACGAGGAGACTGCTAGTCTCCTACTTGACATAATTAACACAGTTCATCTTCACTGTAGCCTTATTAGGTAGCTCCCGTCACCTCCATTTTACAGGGGAGGAAGCAGGCTTAGCGAAGGTAAATAGTTCAGCCCTTAGTAGGACTGACTTTTCTTCAGAGCATTATATTTGCAGTGTATTATTTGATCCTTACAACAAAGTTACCCGTTTCTGTTTTACAGGTGATCACACTGAGGGCCAGAGAGCTAAAGTGCCTTTGCCAACGGTCCTATTCGTTTTCAAATATAATTTATTGTCCAGTTGCCGTACAGCACCCAGGGCTCAGCCCAACAAGTGCCCTCCTCAGTGCCCATTCCTCCCTTCCCCCGCCCCCGTCCACCCTCAGTTTGTTTTCTGTATTTAAGGGTGTCTTGTGGTTTGCCTCCCTCACTCCCAATGGTCCTAATTGAATAGTTTTAGGAATAGTAAGAGCTGAGGGAGACATAGACTTACTGGGGAATCTTACAAGATGTTCAAGATATTCTTCACGATACTCTGTTGGAGTTAACCACTTACAGGAATTACCCAGGGACAGTTGAGTAGATCTGTAATGTGGAGGGAGCAAGACAACAGGTTGGCCCGCACTAAAAGTAATTGAATGAAAGCTTAACTACAGAGAGACTGCAACTTTCAATTTAGTAATCTGCTTTAATAAAAGTATAGGCATAAGGATGTTTATTGCAGTGTTAGTTTCAATAGTTAAAAATTGGGATTGTTCTGGAGCTAGGGAGTAGTGAAATAAATTGATAAATCTACTTGATGGAACACTGGATGGACAATAATATGATAAACACAACCCTCAGAACATGGAAGATCTTGAATATGTGAAGGGGAGATAAAGCAGAATACAGACTGTTATGTTTATATCAGTTATAATCATGTAAAAAATTATGTAAATATTGTTAAAAATTGGAAGAGAACGTAAGTAAGTGAACACAGTCTGTTTAGTCGAGTGATGGACCTATGGGGAATTTTTATGTAGGGTTTTATTAGTGTTGTTATAATGTTATTTGTTGTAATGGAAAAATTGAACAATATAATGAAAAGATATGTTCAGTACAACCAAAATAAATACATTATGAGCAGACCTGATAGACTTTATTTATTTTTTTTTATTTTTTTTTCAACGTTTATTTATTTTTGGGACAGAGAGAGACAGAGCATGAACGGGGGAGGGGCAGAGAGAGAGGGAGACACAGAATTGGAAACAGGCTCCAGGCTCCGAGCCATCAGCCCAGAGCCTGACGCGGGGCTCGAACTCACGGACCGCGAGATCGTGACCTGGCTGAAGTCGGACGCTTAACCGACTGCGCCACCCAGGTGCCCCGAGACTTTAAATATGTAGTGTACTGATACTTAAACATTTCCTTGGAAATAATTAGAAAAAAATGCAGTTTCCAAAATATTTTATTCCAGCAAATTATTTTGTTGCAAAGGAAGCTAAAGTGTGTACAAACTAAAAATAGAGTCTTGGACTTAGCAGTGAAGAGAAAGATACAGATTGTTTTACTAGTTGAGCCATTACAGTTGCTGTGAGAAATCATCTCAAATGACGTGGCATAAAAATGAGTATATTCTGTATTGTTCTAAATATGTGCTCTTGTGATTGTATTAAATCTGCAAACACTTGCGAGCAATTTGATTAGCATTTGCTTTGGGTTCTTAGTTAATCTTGCTGGTTTTGATGAAAGTGAATTCTTACCTGCTTAGGAATACCACCTGTTGAGTTTTGTAGTTTCTGTTCTTATGCATTTTAAGTGTCACTGTGGAAAATGTGGAAATTTTATTCAGAGAATGTTTCTGCCATTTAATATCCCTCATTTACCCAGCTGTCATAGGTTGAATGGTATTTTTCACTCTAGAGAGAGCTTTGAGGTTAATTCTGCCTGTGATTCTTGGTGTGATCCTACTGATTGTAGGCTGGAGTGAGTTAGATATGTGGACTGTCTTATGTTCTTTCATTAATTAATTTTTTAACTTTTTTTTCCAACGTTTTTTATTTATTTTTGGGACAGAGAGAGACAGAGCATGAACAGGGGAGGGGCAGAGAGAGAGGGAGACACAGAATCGGAAACAGGCTCCAGGCTCCGAGCCATCAGCCCAGAGCCCGACGCGGGGCTCGAACTCACGGATCGCGAGATCGTGACCTGGCTGAAGTCGGACGCTTAACCGACTGCGCCACCCAGGCGCCCCTCATTAATTAATTTTTTAAAGAAAATTATTTATTTATTTTTAGAGAGATAGGGCACACGAGCAGAGGAGGGGCAGAGAGAGAGAGGGAGAGAGAATCCCAAGCAGGCTCCATGCTGTCAGCTCTGAGCCTGACATGGGCCTTGATCCCATGAACTGTGAGATCATGACTTGAGCCAAAATCAGGAGTTGGATGCCTAACCGACTGAGCCACCCAAGTCCCTCTGTTCTTCTCTTTATGCATGTCTTGGGCAGAACAGAAACATCACTGCTTTCCTCTAGTACTTGAATTTTTTTTTTTAAGTTTTTTATTTATTTTGTAAGAGAGCAGGCAAGGGGCAGAGAGAAAAGGGGAGAGAGAATCCCAAGCAGACCCTGAGCTCTCAGCACGAAGCCCAACGTGAGGCTCAAACCCACGAGCACAAGATCATGACCTGAGCTGAAATCAAGAGTTGGACACTTAACCAACTGAGCCACCCAGTCGCCCCTTGAAGTTGTTCGTTTAGCATATGAGTAGTCATCCTTGTGATAGTGTGCTAACATTACAATCAGGAAAATGTATGTGTCGAATGTTACGTGGTTAATGCTGGCTATTTCTTCCTGACAGTGCTGGGGGAAGGCCTGGCCACGGGAGATGGTGCCTTCCAGGCAGTGCTTTGCTGCATGCAGCTGAAAGGAAAGCTCCAGCCTGTATCCAGCATTCTTGCCAAGTCGCTGACAGGAGAGTCCCTGGTACGTTGAGGAGCTCTGATCCTGAATGTCCGAAACGGATCCATTTATTTAACTCCTAAGGCGTGTGGTGGGAAGAAGCAGTTCAGTCTGTGCTTCCCTCTTACTTCCTCCTATTGGCAATCAAAGTTTCTGTTCAACAAACTGATGCTTAATCATTGTATTCTTGTAGTCATTTGTGATACTATATATAAGAATTGCAGGTACTTTTTAAAACTGTGAAACTGTAAGATAATGATTTTCTTTAAAGATTTATTTTTTTTAAGATAGTTATTGTTTTTTAATGTTTATTTTTGAGAGAGAGAGAGAGTGTGAGCAGGGGAAGGCAGAGAGAAGGGGAGACATAGAATCCTAAGTAGGCTCCAGGCTCTGAGCACAGAGCACAGAGCCCAATGTAGGGCTTGAACTCATGAACCATGAGATCATGACTTGAGCTGAAGTCAGATGCTTAACCAACTGAGCCACCCAGGCGCCCCAGATTTTTTTTATTTTTAAGTAATTTCTGTATCCAGTGTTGGGCTCCAACTCATAACCCCAAGATCAAAAGTCACCTGCTGCACTGAGCAAGCCAGCTAGGCACCCCCAGATGATTTTCTTTCTTTTTTTTTTTTCTTTTTCTTTTTTTTTCTTTTTTTTGGGACAGAGAGAGACAGAGCATGAACGGAGGAGGGGCAGAGAGAGAGGGAGACACAGAATCGGAAACAGGCTCCAGGCTCTGAGCCATCAGCCCAGAGCCCTACGCGGGGCTCGAACTCATGGACCGCGAGATCGTGACCTGGCTGAAGTCGGACGCTTAACCGACTGCGCCACCCAGGCGCCCCCAGATGATTTTCTTTAAAGATATAATTTAATAAAACCTGGGAATATTTGGGGGATGATTCAATTCATTTCATTGCATTGCATTGCATTGCATTTCATTCCATTCCATTCCATTCCATTCCATTCCATTCCATTCCATTCCATTCCATTCCATTCCATTTTTTAAGTAAGCCCTAGGCTCAATGTGGGGCTTGAACTGTGAGATCAAGAGTCATGTGCTGTATGGATTGAGTCAGCCAGGCTCACCCCTTATTTTGGGGTTTTAAAATGCTTCTGTCAACTTGTGATTATACAGGGTTCTTAAATCCAGTCATTTGTTTTATAAAATGTTTAAATTTATCTAAAGTAATAATTCTATTTCTGAAGATGTTCATGTGTGTAAGTTAATATTCCACTCTGACCATTCTGATGGAATGATCTAATTCTATTCAGACTTCGGGATAAATTTTATTTTTAAGTTTATTTTGAAAGAAAGAGTTCACACATGAGCAGGGGAGGGGCAGAGAGAGAGGGAGACACATATAATCCCAAGCAGGCTCCGTGCTATCAGCACAAAGCCTGACACGGGGCTTGATCTCACAGATGGTGAGATCATGACCTGAGCCAAAATCAAGAGTCTGACGCTTAACAAACGGAGCCACCCAGCCACTCAGGATAAATTTTTTATGTAGCATTTTCTAGAGTTTTTGTTTGGTTTTGGTTGAGATAATTGAAAGACAGCATTTTGGAACTTTAGAGCTCCCAATGTATAGAAATTGGAAGAAATATTTTAAAACTTTTTTTCATCAGTTGGTTACTGTTACAAAATTTGTGGATATTTCTGAGAAATCAGTGCAAAACAGTGAAAGCCAGCATGAATTCTCTGTACCTCATTTAGTCATCTGAATCGATATATATTGTGAAAACCTGAAGCAAAGTTGTGTTTTCACTGCAAATAAATATATTTGGCTGGGAAAAAAAAGAAATTAGGAAAGTACTTGGTATACTGCTGAGTATAATGTAATGACCCATCTCAGGAGGTGATAGAGTTTTTTTCTGAGGGATTACTGTGCAGTGAGTTGTTTAATTGGTTTAACATTGGTTTTTGATTTCACCAAATTTACAAGTGGATATAAAGCTAAACTGTATTACTAATCCAGCAAAATTGTGTAGGTATTTAGTTCTAAATAGATGATAAAGAATATATCTCTTATTATTAAGGTAATTCTATCCTTTTAAAAACATTTTTTATTTAGTTTTTATTTATTTACTTTTTAATTTACATCCAAGTTAGTTAGCATATAGTGCAACAGTGATTTCAGGAGTAGTTTCCTTAATACCCCTGACCCATTTAGCCCATCCCCCCCTCCCACAACCCCTCCGGCAACCCTCTGCTTGTTTTCTGTATTTAAGAGTCTCTTATGTTTTGTCCCCCTTATGTTCATCTAAGGTAATTCTATCCTTAAGGAAGTTTTCTGTATAAGTTTAGCATATTACACAGTTTAACCTGTGGGTAGAAGTATTTGCTTTTATATCTAAGTGAAATTTGAACTTCAGAAGAGTGAATATTTTGCCTGTTTTTCTTCAACTGCTTTATTAATGAACTATTTTTAAAGTGCTGTGATCATTTTATGTGAATCTGAGTCACGGGTAACTGATCGAGTTCACCATTTTTTAAATACAAGTCCATTAGTTTTAGGGGGTAAAAAGCTCAAAAAAAGTTTAGGTTTATTTTTCTCTTTGCTCATGGAATCTTGCTTTCTGGTGATGCCCATTGTGAATACTTTATTGAATTGATTTTAAACTCATACAAGGTGAATACAGTGTTTTATTAGCCACACTGTATATTTTGTCCTGTTAACTTTTTTAACCTTCCTTGTAGCTTGTTAGCTTTATTATAACTAATGGTAGTGGGTTGGCAGATGAGGATAATATTGTCTTTTTACAGATAAACCTTAGAAACAGCGGAGGAATTGACTTACGCCCTCAGAGCAAAGAACTAATATACTAACTAGGTTTTGCCTTTTTCATTCACCTTTTTCAGAATGGGATGGTAACAAAAGATTTGACAAGACTGAAAACACTTCTCACAGAAACAGAGGTAAGACTATTTCAGTGGATTTCTTTGAAAAGAGTTTAACTCAATCTGGCTAGTAAGTGTTCTGTATTAACATTGGAAAATCTTTGGGCATTGGCCAAGAACAAGGCTACAGGTGGGGTAGTGGATCCCCTTGGCCTTCTTCTGTAGCCCAGCTTGGTCACATCCCAGGAACCCTGCTGCTTCTCATGTTTCCTCTGAACCTCGGGTCTTCCATTCCTAATTCTTGTTAGTAGTCTGTGGTCAACAAATGGAAGGATGGTTGGGAAATTTTAGTGCTTAAATATGTCTGGCTGTTAAGAAAACACTGTCATTAAAAATGTCAAGCCTTTTTTTTCTTTTTTTTTTTATAAGTTTCCTTTTTTTTTTTTTTTTTTAAAGTTCATTTATTTTGAGGGAGAGAGAGGGAGTAGGGGAGGGGCAGAGAGAGAGAGAATCCCAAGCAGGTTCCATGCTGCCAGTGCAGAGATTGATGCAGGGGTCGAACTTGTGAACCTCAAGATCATGACCTGAGGCGAAGCCAAGCATTGGACACTTTACCAACTGAGGTACCCAGGCGCCCCTCAAGCACCCCCCCCTTTTTTTTTTAACCAACTTAAGAAGTGTGTGATTTAAGGACTGTTTTTAGGGAATGGAGGTTAGGAGATGGAAATAATGTGTATCAGGGTAAATGGTGAACAAAAATGTGCTCTGATGAAGCACTTGAAGGGCATGTGGAAGGCCAGGGGACAGCAGGGGTATGTATTAGGCCCATAGCTTTGTAAGTCTCAAATTTCTCTTCCTCATATAGACACATAAAAGTATTTTTATTATTTAGATGTCTCATTTTATTTATCATTTTTTTTTAATTATTATTTTTTTTAACGTTTATTTATTTTTGAGACAGCAAGAGACAAAGCATGAACAGGGGAGGGTCAGAGAGAGGGAGACACAGAATCCGGAATAGGCTCCAGGCTCTGAGCCATCAGCACAGAGCCCGATGCGGGGCTCGAACTCATGGACCGTGAGATCGTGACCTGAGCCGAAGTCAGCCGCTTAACCGACTGAGCCACCCAGGCGCCCCATATTTATCATTATTTGTAAAATGTTTATTTAAAAACAAACGGGATGGTCAGAGAGAGAGGGAGACAGAAGATTCCAATCAGGCTCTGTGCTGACAGAGGTGAGCTCAATGCTAGGCTCGAACTCACGAACCGTGAGATCATGACCTGAGCTGAAGTCGGATGCTCAATTGACTGAGCCACCCTGGCTCCCCTTAGATGTCTCATTTTAAAACCAGCCATTTTTGTCAGCTTTTATCTTAAATGGAAGCCATGTAAAGTGATTGATTGGCTTATTTATTTAAAAAAATTGGCATGTACTATGTGTGAGGTCCTGTGCTTGGTGCTAGGAATACAGACACCTGTGGTCTGGGAGGTTAAAGTCTAGGGTAGGAGACAGAGATCAAATAAATTAATTAAACAGCTATAGGTATAATTCACATTGAGGAAAGTGGTATGAGGGAAAGAAATAAGCCTTCTGTGATGGAAAAATAACTGGATTGGGTGGTCCAAGGCTGAGACAGCTGAGCAAGGAATTGAGGATTAAGAAGGTGCCAGTGTCATGGTGATTGAGACGGAGGGCGCTCCAGAAGATGAGCAGAAGCGCAGGTGTAAACCTTGACCTCCTGTAGATTACTTTCCTGTTCCAAATCTAGTAACATGTCACACATACCAGCAAATAAGCAGACAAGACCGTCATGATTCGCATAAGCTGAATAAAGATACTGTTTGTTTTGCTACAGTTAGATAGGCTTTAAAGAAAATGTTATTTTCTTTGTCTTATTGTGAATTAACTGATAATCAGTAACCTCTAATTAACTTAAAAGCCATTTCCTTTCTTGTGTATATGTAGCCTTGTGAATTTCTAAGGCTTAAAGGAAGACAGTTAAAATGTTTTAGACTTTTAACATGAGAATGTAAAATAAGATGACTTTAATCATTTTATTAAGTTTTGGCTTTCTTGTTTTTTATTGCCTTAATTGAATTACTAGCTTTATACCTGATAATCAAGCACAGAGATATATGTGTTATGTATTTGTATATATATGAATTTTTATTTTTAATATTTATAATCCTGTCACATGTAAGGCCACAAACATCACTTTGGGTCTTGTTTTGCGACTGTACTTTTGAAAAAAGTGACCTAAATGTTGTTTCTAATCAACTTTCCTAGGTAACCAAAGTAGTATTCTTTTTGACTAATGAACTGATATTATTAAAAAAAAAAAATCCATCCAAGAAAAGCTAACAAACAAAGGACCCTTATTTATGGTTGTGCATGACATATTTAAAAATAGAAACAATTTGTTATTTAAAGATTGGGCTTAGCTGGTATTGAACTTGAAGTGCTAGTGGATGAGGATAAAGGCATGGAGCTCAAGGCTGACTAATGGGAACAAAAAGAGTATGTTCTAGTAAGATTTAAAACGTCAAAAATCAATAGATTTGATTGTAAATTTATAGAAGTTGTAGCAGTATGAAATTTGTCTGCTTTCCCTGAAGGTGTCAGTACAAACTGCGTGCAGATCATACGCTAAATGACATTGGCCTTCTGCTTCGGGTCTGAGGAAATAAAAAGGTGTTCAGAAAAAAACCAAACAACCCGGGGCACCTGAGTGGCTCAGGCTGTTGGGCATCCAACTCGTGATTTTGGCTCAGGGGGTTGTGAGATTGAGCCCCGCTTTGGGCTCTGTGCAGAGAGTGGAGCCTGTGTGGGATTCTCTCTCACTCTCTCTCTCTCTCTCTCTCTCGCTCTCTCCCCATTTGCCCCTCTGCCTTGCTCTCATGCTCTTTCTGTCTAAAGTAATAAAAGGAAAAACAAGTAAAAAAACCCAACCCAAACACAACACGTTGGAACCTGAGAGCTTTGGTGGCCAGATACGCAGCCCAGGCCGAGCTTCTGTGCCAGCAGATGTGTCTTTCGCTAGACCCTGCCAGCCCGAGAGCTGGGGTGTCAGCACAGACGCGCCCGCTCATTTGCACATCATGGCAGGTGCTGACTCGTGAAACACACCATGTATTTTTCCCTTCTAACATTTAGAAATGCTTTCAGCTTTATTATAGGACTAAAACATTTTATTCCCGTTTTTTTCCTTGCATATCTGGTAAATTTTATTTTAATAAATATTTTAGAGGAGGTATTTTAAATTTATGATTGAAGTGAATTTTTAGGTTTTATATTTGTAAATTTGATGTAGATGAAATCATATTAAAAGCTAGTGTGGGATTATGGCACTTAGATCTGGCTTGTAGAATGTAAAGACATCTTTTAATGTATCTTCTTTGTGAGCATAGAATCTTTACAATGTGAACAATTACTTCCAATTTAGCTTATATATTCTGATATTCAGACCTCATTTTGCAAAAAGAATGGGTTGTCTTTAAAAACTTTTTAGTAAGTTGTTTGAGAATCAAGTTTCTACCTTCCTGTAGAAACAGTATCATAGTGACTTAGTTCCAGTCCAACCTAAAAGGTCCAATTTAATTAACGACATATAGGCTATAGCGATACTGTTTTGGTTATATCTAATTAGCATTTAGACGACATTCTTTGTATGGTACAAAACATTCCAAATTTCATCTTGGGATACCATGTCCTCTGATTCAGCACCTGTGCTGTTCAAGGTTTTCTGGGTTTTGGAAAGCTGAGATAGCTATGGAAAGCAATCTGTTGGGGCCAGTCCGAGATGCACGTAGCTAATGTACCTGCAGGGCGGGCTGCCTGTGGTCAGGAAGTGCTGGAGCGGAAGTGCAAGCAGGAAAACGAGATGAGCAGTCCGCGGGGAGACCAGGAAGGCAGGAATATGGGGGCTGAGATTAAAGGATGGGGGTGTTGGGTAAAGACTCAGAGGTGACTTGGTACAGGGTAAGATTGGTGGTCATTTGGTTCAGGGGCAGATGAGGGCCGTAACCAGGACAGTGGCAGTGGGAGTAGAGTAGGAGACACATAAGAGAGTCGTTCTAGACCTAGTTGGTCAAGATTTGGAGACTACTCAGTGGGACAGAAGGCAGTTCAAGACGGCTTTTGGAATTTGAGCCTTGCTCTCTTTGTGGATGTGGATCCATTAACTTGAGGAGCAACTGAAGGAGGATGAGATTTGGGATGAAGATGATGCATTTGGTTTGGATATATTTGTTTAAAGTACTTGGATGATCATCTGTGCATCCCCCCATCTCCTCCATCCCGTGCTTACTGGGCACCTATTATGTTCCCAGTCCTCTGTGAGGTGTGGGAATGCAGAAAGGCACTTGTAGGCTGTTGGCAGTGGATCTGTCTGTGGCTGACAGAATGATCCAGCACATAAAATGCTGTCGAATAGTTAAGAAAAATAAGAAAACGTGCTATGGCTGGCACTTAACTTGAAATGGGGGGTGTAGAATTTAGAGGCAAATTAGAGCCAGAGGAGCAGACTGGGGAGTTACGTGCACCAAGGGAGTCAGGAAATCCAGGAAATCAGCGTGATGGGTTCTCAGCTCCATCATGGGAGGAAGGCTCATCCTGGAGTGAGGGGGACTTGGCAGGATGTGCCCCAGGCCCCAGAGTGGTGGCACTGTACCCCATGCAGGAGAAAAGGCCCCTCACTAGCTGGTCTTTCTCTGGGTGTTAGCAAGAGGAGAGTGAAATGAATAAGTGGGATGGGGGTGCTCCTCCTTTGGGTTCAGAACTGGGGACGTACACTTTTTTGTTTTGCTGCCAGGTAATTTTTGTATAGGGAATCTCTTACCAGTTTCCTTGATGAGGGCCACACAAGTAGTTCTTTTCCATATTTAAACGTAGTTTAATGTAGAGCAGAGATGGAAGCAAAAGATATTGTTTATTAACATTAAAATGTCTTAAGTATTCAAACTCAGCCTTTTTGAGAAATGTTGAAAATGTCCAAGTTTAATACAACGCAGTTGGGTATTTCTTATTATAAGAACATTTTCATTTGAAAAATTTCAGACAGCAACTAGTAACGTCCTGTCTGGATATCACGTGGAAGGCTTGGAAGGGGGTAAGTACCAAATTCTGTGTTACTTCTGCTAGCTGTAATTCCAGGCATTACTTTTTTGTTGATTACTGGGAGGACATTTACGGAGTTATGGTACATGTAAGTGGAGGTGTCAGGAGACGATATAAAAATGTAATTCTAAGAAGTAGGTGAGGATGAAGCAGTTGTTTTACTGGCCCCTTTCTGTAGCGGCGTGGAGTAATGGAGGCAGGAGGTATCCTTTTCTTGCCTCCACGTAGCTCCAAACGTAAACCTCATCGTTAGCAATGTCGAGTTGCTGCATTCTGCGCTAGAGGGAAGCCTCCTTTCTCTCTCTGTCCCAGGCCAGTCCAGTTCTTACTTTTTGGAAGTCCCGATCGGTAAGCTGAGTTGTTCCAGCCACGGTTAAAATCCACGACCTGCTCTTCTCTTGCCCCACAAAAGGGGAAGGGGACCAACATTCATCGAGCGCTTGCTGGGCGCTACGTACTCGGTGGCTTTCACAAAAACACGTATTGGCTTCTCCCATCATTTTGAGAGGCGATGAGACTGGTGTTTATTAAAGTTCAGTGATTTTCCCAGTCACACAGCTGGAAAGGGATGAAACGCAGCTTTAAAACTCAGCCTGGCTGAATATCTTTGTTGTTGCCGTTGTTGGGGTGTGGGCACAGTGATTTGTGAGGGAATAGAAAATGGCTGTAAGGTCCTTCAGATTTTGCTGCTGCTCAACCTCTACTGCTCTAGCCTTTTCTCTCTTAAGCCTTATTTCCTTGGTTTATTTGGAATCTTTTACCCAAACGAATCAAACCTCATTGTCTTCAGAAGTAAACAAATGTTATTTTTTAGCTCCTACCTCAGAATTCAACTTTTTGAACTTGATTTCGCTTGTAAAAAAAAGGCTTACTTTATATGATTACATGTGTCAGACAAACCCTAAGGAGCATGGGTGATAATGGGTAACTTTTTACCCAGTATGCAGTATTGAATTTGCTCTAAAAATTTCCTTCCAGGATGCAGTAATTTTCTCATTCCTGAAATAATTCCTGATAGAGACGCATCTTAAGAAATGACAAGCATGCCAACCTTTCCCCCTGTCAGTTGTTAGGGAAGAGACTGCATTGGAAACATGTCCACCAGTTGCTAGGACAGAGTCAGGGTCATCGACTTGATTTCGCTGTTGGGTAACTACTTCAGTGATTTGAAGTTTCATGTGGTTAATTGAATTTCACTCATTTGACTGGTAGAGGCAAGTATGTCATGTCCTTTTTACATCATCTGGGATGATGTGTGTGGAGGGTTTATAGTATTTCTTACACATGAAAATATCAGAATTATTAGCAAGCCTCAAATGATACGACTATATCCTGATTACTCTCTAGGATCTTGTAATGGTTGGCATTTCCGCCCACCACCTAGGGGAATCACAAGCAGCGAGGAATATACTTTGTGTAAAAGGTAACGTGAATTTTTTTTTTAAACCAATGACATGTCTTTATTCAAAGGATAGATAATTTTCCTTCACTTTCTGAAAAGTAGTAATTCCAATCTAAAGAAGATAATATGTGAAGGAAGAAGTATAATGATTGAGTTAAGTGGTTTATTTTCAACTGGAAACAGAAGCCATAATGGTCATTATCATTAAATAAGAAAAGTCAAAGCCAGACCAGTGAGCCTTCTATTAATTACAAACAACAGTGATATAAATGGGGATTGTTAAGACTTTGTGTAGAAGTCTTTTATAAAACCAGTTGAATTATTAGGACTGAATTTAATTCTGGTCTCTTATTTATGTGAAATTTACCTAACTTTTGGTGATTGAAATGGAAATGATACAAACTGAAGTAGAGCATATAGTAGATGAAGAAATTTTAAATTATTTTAATAACTTTTCTAAAACAATATCTATTATCTTCCTGTTATCCTTCTATATAATTTACGAGGAATTTCTATTTGAAGGGCTAACCTTTCAAAATAGTTATTAAGCCGGACAGAATTATTGCAGTCACGTTTTGAAAGGTTCTTTTTGTAAGAACTAGTAACTAGTGATATTTTAGAAATAAAGTCTCATTACTATAGATTGTTTTTGGTAATGAAGAAAACTGGATATGTAGTTTTGATGATTGAATAGTTAAGATATCAGATACGATTTTATGTAGAACTAAAGAAACGAAGTAGTAAATTGCAGAAAGCCTGGTGGCATCCTGTCGTAGGAGAGGAAAAACACAGTCGCGTGCAGAGGAAATGGGAGAAAATTTAAGGCCACGAGAGACTATCAGCCTCTAATATATTTAAAGAAATAATTTAAAGCAAAGCAATAGAAAGACAAATATTTGGCTTATTAAGATCTACTTAAGAGAAACAAATGCATGATTTTAAATGTCTCTTAAAAAATGTAAGAACTTAATCGTATAATTTAAGTTCAAGAACTTTACGTATCATCAAGAAAAGCTTTAAATACAGTCATCTTTTCAAATAGGGTGAACCGTTTGATCATTTACATTGTGTTGTGGTTCATTTTGTATTTCTTATGGCCTGTATTTTTTTCAGTTGAAGAATTATCCATAATATAACACCTCTCATCTCTATTTTGCTCTTTATAGTTTAATTTTGATTTTTTCTCTCAGAAGATCTTTTTTTTTAATTTTTTGACGTTTCAATGGTTTAAAAATTGGCTAGGCCCCGAATTTTGCACGGTATTTAAAACTTTAAAAAAATACTAATAATCAGAGTTTTGCCTTTTTATGTGTTTTGACCACCGAATTATTGTCAGTTGAATTTTCTGAGTCATAAACACTGTGAAACCATAACTCTTGTCCTTTAAAGTGAACGTTTATGAACTTACCATTGAAGAATTTAATCTATTGAATTAATTGTGATTCTAATATAAAACTTTTATTCTTAATTTATTCAAAACTTCAAGCAAATGAATAGAGCCCAGTATTTTCAATGAAACATAGGTTAATGGTCATAGAGAAAAGGGTAAAGGCTTTACGTTCGAAGGTGAGGAATAGAACCCTTAAGGTTATACTTTAATGATACATTAACATTTTTTTCCGAGTGAAATTCTTAGTATGTGGAGCATTTTTCTTGAGGAGAATATCATTTTGGGAAGTAGGGCATTCCTGTGTTTGATGCACCGATCCACTTGATGTCAGTGTTGCTTTAGGAAAATTCTGCTCTAAGAAGAATTGTCTAAATAGAGTTGTTACATCGTGAAGGAAACTGCCGTTTCGATGTTGGTTTTGTGGGTGTGGGGTGGTTATGACTGATTATGTTTCGCTTTAGCACCCCCTTATTCCAAAACAGGGAGCACTGAGTCTGGGAAGTTGCCGTAGCGATTAACTGTTGTAAATGTTCGTGAACCCTCTTCTCCCTCCTCCATGCAAGTCAGTGTGATAAATATGGCCTTTCAGGAGATAAAGTTTTGTTTTTGTTATTGAAGAGTCGAAGGGCAAATGATGGAAGTTTGTATTCTAAATGGTCCAACAAAGTGTATGATGAAACAGTCTTTCCTATTTTACTTAGATTTTTAGAACAAGGCATCTGTAGGTACGGTGCCCAGTGTACTTCAGCGCACTCCCAGGAAGAACTAGCAGAATGGCAGAAACGATACGCCTCGCGGCTGATAAAATTGAAACAGCAAAACGAGAATAAACAGCTCTCAGGCAGTTACATGGAGACCTTGATAGAAAAGTGGATGAATTCATTATCTCCTGAGAAAGTGGTGAGGAAAATAAACTGCATTGTTTTGTTTTGTTTGAAACAATGACTTTGTTTGAGTCTTGACTTTATTTTGTGCTATATTTTGGTTTATTTCCTTATCTTCTGTATGAAGAACTTGATTCTTGATGAAGTGTTTTTGTAGCAAAATCAGACTCTTTTGCTAAAATAAAGAGCAGAGCCAAGGCATTTGTTTGGAGATTTGCAGGTATTGTATGAACCTTCGTTCAGGGAGCGTTTACTGCCATTTTGTTGTCCTTAAATTTTTTATGTCTTGTCTAAGCTTTATTATATCTTGTTCTTATAAAATTAATGTGTAAAATGTCTTGCTTTGTCAACAGTTCCATCCACATCTTCACCGTTGATATTTATTTATTTACCACGCCAAAAGTTTTGTTTGTGCTTTTAGGAATAAAAACGTAACACCAATTGTTGTCTATTTTCAGCTTAGCGAATGTATAGAGGGAGTAAAAGTTGAGCATAATCCTGATCTGTCGGTTACTGTCAACACCAAAAAGTCTCACCAGACATGGACCTTTGCTCTTACTTGTAAGGTATGAATTTTGTGTTAATTGAGGAATGTAATTTTTTTTTTGATGTTCTTAAAGCTTCCCTGACCTTTAAATCCCTGTGTGAGACCATTGAAAATGTTTTCATCTAAATACATTCTTAAGTAGGTTATATATTGTGCTAAAGTGTATTTCTGTATTGCCTTAAAGGTATAATTTGTTTAGATTTTGAGATAAAGGTCTTTGTAGATATTTAGATGTTTGCTAATTTATTAATTTGATCAAGAGGTCTTTGATACATCGTCTTCTGAAGTCGGAACATAGGATGGGGTTCGTGGCTCAGAATTAACTATTTAAAAATCGAATTGTTTAATCTGGCAGTTCTAAGATATTTAAACAGTAGCAACTTGTTTGTATAATTGATTTGATGAAATCATAGATTCTGTAATAATGGGTTTTTAATATGAGACGTTTTCTGCAGTGCTTTCCATCTCGAATATAGTACTCAAAGTTTTAGAATAAAGCGAAGTCAGACTTTTCTGTGAATATGTGCAGTGGAAAAGTTTGGTGTGCTTTTTGGTGGCATTTCTTTTACTGTACCATCTGCATCTTGGGATGAAAAATCTGGGAACATTTAGCTTCGGCCTTGAACCCAATCCGTTGCCTTCAGAGGTAACTGCCCTCCTGTGAAGACTTCCTACTTAAAGCTAGATAAAACTTTTTTAGGCCAAAGGTATGGAAAGTTGGAGTTTGGTGGTCATACAGGGTGATAGCTTTCACCACAAAGAAAGATGAGTGTGTCATGGAAAGAGCAGGGTGGTTAGAGATGTCGGATAAATCTGTCGTTTTTAAAAATTTCAGCTTTGCTGAGGTATCAGTGACATCATAAATATATGATTTTAACAACGGATTTTTGTTTTAAACCATTCTGATTTTTTCTTAAATGGCTTGTGAGTACAGTTTGTATTTTTAACATAGTCTCTTAGAAGCATGGGAAAATAAAAGTCCCTGATGGGAATATTTTTATTGAAGAACCCAGTGACAGTTGGACTTTTCACCCCCTTGTACTCAATGAATTCCTTTGCCTTCCTTGCAGCCTGCAAGAATGCTGTGTCGGGTAGCGTTGCTCTATGATGCACATCGTCCTCATTTTAGTATCATTGCAATATCTGCCGGAGATAGTACTACCCAGGTATCGCAGGAAGTCCCAGAGAACTGTCAAGAATGGATAGGAGGGAAGATGGCCCAAAATGGATTAGATCATTACGTGTATAAAGTCGGGATAGCATTTAACACAGAAATCTTTGGAACTTTTCGCCAAACCATAGTTTTCGACTTTGGATTGGAACCGGTACTCATGCAAAGAGTAATGATTGATGCGGCTTCTACAGAAGGTAATATTTAGACTTTCCCTCCCGATACAATGTGTTAAAAGGCACTATAATGGCAGTATTAAAAGATATGTATTAGCCTCTAAATATTTCCTGGAGAGGGAATAAACGATAAGGAAAAAAAAAAAAAAAAAAAAAAATCCCAAAGCAATTGACTCATTTATTGGGTAATGAGATGAGAATGGTTCATATTATGCTCTGGTCTCTTTATGGAGTCATTAGGCAAACTTGCTTTGAGCTTCCCCAAACTTGTCTGAGTAGACGATCAGGTCTGTTTGGGTCTCTTAGCTTGGTTTCTGGTTTTTTTTTTTAAATGTTTTATTCATTTTTGAGACAGTGACAGAGCATGAGCAGGGAAGGGGCAGAGAGAGAGCGAGACACAGAATCCGAAGCAGGCTCCAGGCTCTGAGCTGTCAGCACAGAGCCCCGCACGGGGCTTGAACTCACAGACCGCGAGATCATGACCTGAGCCTAAGTCGGACGCTCAACCGACCGAGCCACCCAGGCGCCCCTAGGGTGCCTTTAATAGGATCTGCTCTGTGTTCCTGGGAAAGAGGTCCCTGGTTTCAACGTGTGAGCACCTGCAGAAGATGATAATTACTTTGCGTGTTGTTGCATTACTGCCTATTGCTAAATTTTATGCCGAGATCCAACAGGACAAGGAAGGGGCACATTACCCTGTATTTTCTTGGCTCTTGGTTGGATTTTTATAGGTACTTTGTTTTATTTAGTGAGCACTAAATATTTATTTAAGAGGGACTTCATGTGAAACTTCCTATTGTATTGACTATAACCGACCCTATTGTGGAGGATGTTTTTGGCTCTGTACCACAGTGTCCCATCTGTGAGACCTAAAGTCTGGTTCATGAGCAAATGCTAGGGTTTGATTTTTTGGATGCAGTGACAGGTGGAACTGTTCTGTCTCCTTTACTTTATCTGCTGGGAAGGTTAAAGCAACATTTGGGCCCAGATTGAACAAGTAGGCATTACCTTCTAGTGTGTGTGCCAGTGTCACCCAGACTTCCTTAGACCTCATTTGAGGCTTATTTCTCACTTACTTTGATCTCTGTTACTTGTTTTTATTCTTTTGTATTTTGGATTTTCATCTTCTCCGTACTCTTTGGAATTAGAATATGTTAAATCCTGGGGCGCCTGGGTGGCTCAGTCGGTTGAGCTTCCGACTTCGGCTCAGGTCACGATCTCACGGTCCTTGAGTTCGAGCCCCACGCCGGCCTCTGTGCTGACGGCTCAGAGCCTGGAGCCTGCTTCCGATTCTGTGTCTCCCTCTCTCTCTGCCCCTCCCCTGCTCATGCTCTGTCTCTCTCTGTCTTAAAAATAAATAAACATTAAAAAAAAAAAAAGAATATGTTAAATCCGATAGCCAAGTAGATACAGTTGACAGAGTAAGAATACTTAATTTATATTTGCCGCTGTAGGAGTTCTTTGGCAGTCTTTTTCCTGCTAAGAGCCAGAGAGTGAATCCTTCAGGTGCTGCCAGGCAGATGGTGTTTGCTGGGACAGCGCTGCTCTGCGCTGTGATGATAAAGGAGCTAGAGACCATATGGAAGCGAAAGGGCATGACTGTGTTCCAGTCACACTTTATTTTAAAAAACTGAGGGCTGGAAGTAGCCTGCATGCTGTGCTTTGCCTGCCCCTGTCCTAGTGAGTTGCTTTTAGAGACTAGAACTTGAGAACTATTAGGAGGCACCTTTTGTAAATCATGAAGAGAGACCACCACGTATTTCCCACTTGCAAGTATAATTTTCATAGAATGTTCTGGGCTTAAGTGTGGTGTGTGTGTGTGTGTGTGTGTGTGTGTGTGTGTACGTGTACATACATATAGAAATATTTTTTTTTTAAGGTTTTTTTTTTATTTTTTTTTTGCGGGAGAGAGGGGGAGGGAGGGAGGGACTGTGTGCATGGGGGAGGGGAAGAGGGAGAGGGAGAGAGAGAGAATCCCAGGCAGGCTCCATACCCAGTGCCGAGCCTGAAGCAGGGCTCCATCTGAGCCGAAATCAAGTTGGATGCTTAACTGACTGAGCCATCCAGGTGTGCCCCACATGTGGGTTATATTTTAAAAGTTTGCTTTTAGATGGATGGTTTGTAACTCACAACTCATTTCCCCATAGAAATAAGTTTTTAAAAACAAACAAAAAAAAAGGAAGTAAGTTTTTAAGGGTTGTCAAAAATCTGTACTACTTAATGAGAGCCTATTTAATTAATTACATGAAATGTTACATGTCTTCATTAAGAAGAGAAAATGATGCTAATTAAGACTGATGCGGGAAGGAGGTGATGATGTAGATTTTAGGGCACCCTCACATGGGCTTGAGAGATTGAGGGTACTTTGACTACTTTTGCCTCAGGCATGTGTTACTTTTCTAGTGGGAGAAAAAGAACAGTGAACAGACTTCACAGTCAAATAGAATTGGATTTGAGTCTCCATTTTCTCATTACTCGTGTGACATTTCTGAACTTCATGTGTAAAATGGGGCTAGTGATATCTATTTCAGAGGATCATTGTGGGAACCAAAATAAGCATTGTATGGTTTCTGGCACATGGTAAGCACTTAGTAAATGGTAGCTGTTGTTTTTACCATGAGCCATGGTTAGAATAACTTCTGACTTACAAATAGAATGACGAAAGTAGGAAGAGAGAAGGAGAATTTATTTTAAAAAGTGTGGACCAGGGGCTCTAGGGTGCATGCAGGAAGAGGGGCTAAGAAGCCGAGATAAAGACCTGAGCCCTTAAAGCCACAGCACCTGCGAATCTTGACAAGAGAAGGCAAGAGAAGTTGGTGGAAGACAAGTTGTCCAAGATGACTGATATTTTAAGTGTGGTCACTGGAAGAAATAGAATTCCCTCCCTCCCTCCCTCCCTC